CCACCATCATCATTGCTCTTAGCTTTGGTTTCTTAGTCTTTACCTTCACCCTTCACCCGCTATGGTAGATGGCTCCTGAGATGCTACCACTCCATGGGCATACGAGAGCCTCCAGGTGAGTTGTTCTGGTCTGGGATAAGCAGAGCCAGTGGGGAATTTTGGTCCAGCTGTCAATCACTCAGAGGAGAAAACTGGCAGGAGAGATGAGACCACAGGAGGAGGACATGCCTCGGGAGGCAGATGGAGCGGGATCTCGTGGGTGTGCCAGTCTCAAACTGTCTACACCGTGGGCTTTGAGAAGGACTTGGGGAGGAGCGGAAAGATGGTCAGACATGATGGCAGATGAGGCCGCCAAGAGGAGCCTGGAAGGAGGAAACTGCTCCCTCCTTGGTGGCCTTGTTGTCCTCGTGTGGCTCCTTGCCTTCATGGCAAAGCTGGTGTAGATTTAATCAGCTGTAATCAACTGCATTCTAGCCTTGTCCCTTGATGTTCTGGGGGACTCAGTGAAGAGCCTAGAGGGGCTGGTGAGGGAGCCCGCCCGGCCGGTGTAGGAACTGAGTGGCTCCTGCCCCTCAGGAGCAGGCCCTGTGCTCACCAGGTGCAGAGAACCTTTGGTGGAAACCTCAGGCCGACACCCAGAACAATGCAAAAGCTACAGAAGTGTTTGCTGTGGCTTCCTGAGAAAACGAAGAGACACTGCAACCGTAATGTGCAGCAAAACTTCATAAAATCCCCCCCCCCCAGCTTGTCTTGTCTTTATGCTCCTCTTCCACTAAGCTGGCTCCTCTCCTCCTCTACTTGGGCCTTCTGGAAGCTCAGACCTTGCTCTCCCCTTAGCCAATTGGCTCCTCAGCCCGGGTCCCCGTCTCTCCCAGGCCTGCCTCTACCACCTGCAGCTCCTCTGTGTCCTCTCCACTGTAAATCCACCAAGACAAGGCTTGTCCTTAATCCACCTTATCACTGTCTGCATCGCCAATGCTGAGCAGCTGACGCCTTTACAAGGAGGAGGAGAACGGTGACTGTCCCTAACTGCAGTGATTGTCTCCAAGGTAAAAACTTCTGAGAGCAGCAGGCATGGGGATCCCTGCTGGAGGCAGAGATTGAAGGAGGTGATGACGAAGGCCTTTGTGATGCTCCCACTGCAGGCAGGAAGCACCCCAAAATTTGGGGCAGTGGGTGGCTGTCTACCAAGCTGAGTCACAGCCCCTGTCCTCAGTGCTGACTGCTGGGTGCCCGCTTGTGGGCATATGGCTCTGGGTCCACACCCCCAGGGACTGCTGTCAGGCTCCCAACCTTGACCCCACACTGGAACCACACAGGGGCCTTTAGGAAAGTGCTGATTTGCCATGACCTCCACCAGAAATGAAACTTAATTGGTTTGGTGCAAGGCCCAAAGCATCTAGGAGCACGAGCCATTTTAAAAGTTCCCTGGGTGATGCCAATGTGCCACTAAGGATGAGATCCACTAGGCTGCTAGATCTAATTCCTTCCGAGAAGAAGACACCCTGCTCCAGAGCCCGGGGGCTCCACACCACAGCCCCAGGCTCAGCACCCCTTCTTCCTCCAGGCCCCTTCTTGACACACCAGGAGGGAGAGGAGTTGGGACCAAGACTCTGGCTGGCGCAGAGTGACTTAAGATTGCAGTTGGGGCCTCCTCCATTCATCGTCAATCACATACTCAGTAACCCCTTAACATGAATGTACCGCTGGAGGCAATGAGGGACAATGTCGGAGGGGCACAGGTTAGCCTGGGCAGTAAGGAGGACATGACATTTACACTAGGACTCAATGACAGCAAGAAGCCCACCCAGTGAGGCTCCCTTGGCCAGCGGAAAGAGCAGAAGTGAGCAGGTCCTTTGCAGGGCCGAGCTGCAAGCTGGGCAGGGGCGCATCCCATCCCGGAAGGTCTTGCAGCAGCAGGAAGCATGTGGTTTTCTTTCTCTGTGCAGGAGAGGCCCTGGAATGCTTCTGGGATCACAGTCTGGGTTTTTAAGACACTCAGGCTGCAGTGAGAGGTGGCTGGTGGCAGCCAGATGGTCACAGGTGGACAGTGCACTCCAGCAGGGTAACAGACACCCTGTGACCACAGCCCAAGGGAAGGACAGGGGCAGCTTTCATCCTAGTGGGGAATGTAGGTCAGGCAGCCCAGCTCCTGCTGCCAAGCCGCTAAAGCAGCCCCCTCGCATGGGGGGAGGGGGAGCTGGGGCTGAGATGTGTGGGCTCAGCCAAGATCTGCATTGGCAGGAAAGGCAGAGATAGCAGCTACCCAGGTGCAAGGATCTGGGCCACTGCCCAGGGTCTCCTCATCCTCTTTCCCGGGTGCCTCTCCCCCACCTCTCCACCCCCTCGCCATCTCCCCAGCAAGCCTTGCCACGCGCAGGAGCAGGCGGCTGTATTTTAAGATCAGGGCTCAGACCTCTAAATAAACCATAAACAGAGCCAGCTTCCCTGTACAGAAGGAGGGAGACAGCTCCATTTCTTTTCAACGCACTGACTGAGAAATAAACAAGTGGCTCTGCCTGTCACATGCACTTAACCCTCTGCAAAGGCATCTGTCAGACCAAGCGCTTCTGCCTCAGCCTTTCCAAGAAATAACCCATGTGCCCCCCACTGGGGCTTCTCCCACAGGCTCCAAGTCCACTTTGATGTTCAAGGAAAGCAGAGCATGGAGGCTAGTACCTGACCCTGACCTCAAAGGACAATGATGGACTAGCGGTCATGTAGCTTGGAGCAGAGAAGGATTCAGGGGAAGGAGGAGGGGGAAGGGCGAGGGGGCAGCAGAAGCAGAGAATGATCGGACAGAGCTGAGCGGCCTGGGGCGACTCTGAATAGGACAGATGGGAGGTGAAGGCCCTGGGGGTCAGGCAGAGCCCAGAAGCAGAGGGGCTTTTCTCCCTGGGCAAAGTCTCATGGCTGTGACCACAAAAGAAAAAGTAATGAGCAAGAACAAAAACAGCTCAGAACAGAAGGAACAGGCCAGTAAATAAAGCAAGGGAGGAAAGAAACCCCCACGGTGATCCAAGCCAAGCCTTTCCAGGAGGAGGGACCTCAGGACACCCCAAGAAAAGGTGATTTCCTCACCCAGTTCAACCAGAACAGTCAGGAGAGGGGGGGGAGTGGCTGGGGACAGTGGCACACAGCAGGAGCCACTCGGAAGGGGCCCTGAGCTTTGGAGGGGCCAGAAAGCAAGACAGGAGGTGGGTGAGACTAGAGAGATGGGCAAGGCCGTGCAGGCTGTCACCCAGATGCTGTTGCCAAGGGCACCTGCTGCTGGGAGCCCAGTCACCCTCCCCCACCGTATGGGAGGGGCCTGAAGCAGAGTGAGAGGAGCAGCAGGGCTCACACACACACACACACACACACACACACACGGAAACACACCCCCTCATGAGGGCTGGCACCGAAGGGGACCTCAGGCCTCTAGGTGGCAGCCCAGCCAGGTGTGAGGGACCCCCGACTTCAAATGACAGAGCAGCCAACCAAGACAGAGGCTCAGTGGAGCATCAGGCAGAACACTGATTCCCATAGAAATAGACATGGAGACAAAGACAGCAAGCACAGACTTCTCTCTCTTCTCTCTCCCTCTCTCTCTGTCTCTCTGTCTGTTTGTCTCTGTCTCTGTGTCTCTTTCTCTCTGTTTCTCTGTCTACGCGCGTGCGCACACACACACACACACACACACACTCACTTCTAGTATTCAAACATAAAGAGAGAAAGCAAGCTTCTGTGACTCTCAACAGCCTGTTCTCCCTCCCACAGTGGCAGCCTCACTGGAATGCCAGAGGTCACAGAAGTGGTGCCCTTTCAGACAGTAACACACACACACACACACACACACACACACACACACACAGAGGCTAGCCTGGCACAGGGCTGGCTTGGAGCCAGAGCCTCCACATGAAGCCAGATCAAGGCTCTCACCCAGGTGTACCAAGGAGGTCAGAGCACCCAAGCCACACGGAGCGGCCCTCTGGCCGGATGGCGCACCAGGGCCGCGTGTTTTCTCTCTCGCCGTGGCCGTGAGTCCACAGCCACCTCGCAAGGGTTGTCCCAGGACGTCTGACCCGCCTAGTGAACACACCCCACATTGCCGCCATCTCTGCAGTGGCACCATGCGAATGTAAGAGGCTCCCGGGGGCTGCAGGTCCATCTCAGCTTAGCTCCTTGGGAGGCCTTAAGGACAATCCTAGGGAACCAAGAGCTCAGCCATGGGCCACAACTCTCCTCTGGAAAGGGGTTCAGGCGCGGAGCACATCTATGCTGTGGCAGTATACTTCGCACATGGCACACAGCCTCGCGTCACACACGCATCCCACTCACACGCGTTTCAGGTCTCCCCACACCGGCACACTGCGTACAGCTCCGCATCCTTTTTTATCCTAGCTTTACAACAGACACTGAAAATTCCTACTGTACACACACACACTCTTCCACGCACTGACCCGCAGCCCACGCTCCGCACAGGCCAGTACACACACGCTGCCCACGCAGAGCTCCCCAAAGGAGCCCAGTGATTTCCTCCCACGCCCCCGCCCACCTCATCCCCGCGCTAAACTGAGCTCACCAACCTCAGGCTACCCTGACCTCTCCTCTCCTCCTCACCCCTCTAGCTCCTGTTGCCCGACACCCCAACCCCAGGTTTGGGAAAACTTTTCTCCGGGTCCCCAAAAGAGAAAACCCCCAAAGAGGAAAAAGATCCTCTGTTTTTGTCCTGCCCAGGACAGGCATCTGCCCCTCAGTTCTGGTCTCCCGCCAGACCAGACCAGGAAAGGTCACCGTAGGCAGCCCTCTGCCTGCACCCTAGGGGTGATAGTCACAACAGCTGTCACCGGAGGGTGTGTAGGGGGCAGTAAGGGAAAGGAGTCCGCCCCACGCCAAGCTGGGGCTGCAAAGGGTCGCCACAGCATCTCCCAGCCCCGGGGCTGCAGCCGCGCCCGCGGAGAGGCGCGGAGCTGTCCGTTCAGCACCACCGCCCGCCCCGCGCAGGGCTGGCGCGCCCAGGCGCACGGGCTCCGCTCCCGCTCCGGCTGCGGGCGCCTGCAGCGTGGGCTTCCGCCAATCCCGGGGCGAGGGGCGCGCAGATCCCAAGAGGGGCCTGCACCCGCGTCGGGGCCACGCAGCCACCTGTGCGCCTCCTGCCACTGCGGGCGGCGGCGGCGCGCGGGGCCGAGACGCGAAGAGACGCCGGTGGACCCGCCCGCGGCCCGCCGGGCGCACACACAGGCGCACACCCGGGCGCACCCGCGCGCACCCGCACAGCCAGCCGGCGGCCGCCACCGCCGCGATGCTCTCCGGCGGGTCTGTGAAGTTTCCCGCCGGCCTCGGCCGCGGGCGCCGCTGCTCCCAGGTAAGCGCCTCCTGCCAGATGCGCAGGGCGAGCCGGGCAGCTCCGCGGGGTGAGGCGCGGCGCACGCGGCCCGGGGCACGGCGCCAGGAGGGCGGGCGGGGAACCCAGACCGGGGAACCCGGGGCTCCTGCCGTGCAGGGAGGACTCGGGGAGCCAGGGCGCCCGCCCCCCACCCCCTGCCCGGGCGGCGGAGCGCCTCGCCCCCTCCCAAACCTCTTCGCCCCCCTTCTCGGCCCAGCCCTGTCCGTGCGCATCGTAGCGCGGGTCCCTGTCTGCGACCCTGCGGGGGCGTCTCCCCGGCCTGCCCAAGGGCAAGGTCTGCACGCAGCGCCGGGGATCCGCAGCCGCTGGGCGCCATCCCAGCAGTGCATGGCGATCGCCAGGACCCCCGGAGAGGGGGTGCAGCCAGGGCCATCCTGGTAGAAACGCACACCGCTGCCTTTCCCGGGGAAGGGGCCCAACCCCACTGGCCGTGCCCCCACCCCAGAGCCCCTCTGCACCCCCAGACACTGAGCAGGAGGGAGGGGCGCGCAGGGTGGGGAGGCCGGCGCCCGCGTGATGCGGTCCCTTCGCCCGCAGGTGTAGCGCCCCCGCGCGGCGCGGGCGGCCGGGCTGCTCCAGCATGACCGGCCAGAGCCTGTGGGACGTGTCAGAGGCCAACGTCGTCGAGGACGGCGAAATCCGCATCAACGTGGGTGGCTTCAAGAGGAGGCTGCGCTCGCACACGCTGCTGCGCTTCCCCGAGACGCGCCTGGGCCGCCTGCTGCTGTGCCACTCGCGCGAGGCCATGCTGGAGCTCTGCGACGACTACGACGACGCCCAGCGGGAGTTCTACTTCGACCGCAACCCCGAGCTCTTCCCCTACGTGCTGCACTTCTACCACACCGGCAAGCTGCACGTCATGGCCGAGCTGTGCGTCTTCTCCTTCAGCCAGGAGATCGAGTACTGGGGCATCAACGAGTTCTTCATCGACTCCTGCTGCAGCTACAGCTACCACGGCCGCAAAGTGGAGCCGGAGCAGGAGAAATGGGACGAGCAGAGTGACCAGGAGAGCACCACATCCTCCTTCGACGAGATCCTGGCCTTCTACAACGATGCCTCCAAGTTTGACGGGCAGCCTCTGGGCAACTTCCGCAGGCAGCTGTGGTTGGCACTGGACAACCCGGGCTACTCGGTTCTGAGCAGGGTCTTCAGCGTCCTGTCCATCCTCGTGGTGTTGGGGTCCATCATCACCATGTGCCTCAATAGCCTGCCGGACTTCCAAATCCCTGACAGCCAGGGCAACCCCGGTGAGGACCCCCGGTTCGAAATCGTGGAGCACTTTGGCATTGCCTGGTTTACATTCGAGCTGGTGGCCAGGTTTGCTGTGGCTCCTGATTTCTTCAAGTTCTTCAAGAATGCTCTAAACCTTATTGACCTCATGTCCATTGTCCCCTTTTACATCACTCTAGTGGTGAACCTGGTGGTGGAGAGTACTCCTACCTTGGCCAACTTGGGCAGGGTAGCCCAGGTCCTGAGGCTGATGCGGATCTTCCGCATCTTGAAGCTGGCCAGACACTCCACCGGCCTCCGCTCCTTGGGGGCCACCTTGAAGTACAGCTACAAAGAAGTAGGGCTGCTCCTGCTCTACCTCTCCGTGGGGATTTCCATCTTCTCTGTGGTGGCCTACACCATTGAAAAGGAGGAGAATGAGGGCCTGGCCACCATCCCTGCCTGCTGGTGGTGGGCCACCGTCAGTATGACCACTGTGGGCTACGGGGATGTGGTTCCGGAGACTACGGCAGGGAAGCTGACCGCCTCCGCTTGCATCTTGGCAGGCATCCTCGTGGTGGTACTGCCCATCACCTTGATCTTTAACAAGTTCTCCCACTTCTATCGGCGCCAAAAGCAACTTGAGAGTGCCATGCGAAGTTGTGACTTTGGAGATGGAATGAAGGAGGTTCCTTCGGTCAATTTAAGGGACTACTATGCCCATAAAGTTAAATCCCTCATGGCGAGCCTGACGAACATGAGCAGGAGCTCACCAAGTGAACTAAGTTTAAATGATTCCCTGCATTAGCCAGGTTACGTTGTTACCCTGAAATCCACCTTGCTGAGCTGCCTCTGGTGCCTCCTGGCAGCTTTGGGTTATGGTGTAAGAAGTCTTCCCAAGTTCTGAGGGGAGATGCATGGCATAGCACCCCAGGTCGCTGTGATGGTATTTAGAGTCACTTTTAGAGGGTGGTGTGTCTGACACCATGCCTTTGCACCTTTCCACAAAATGACACTCACTGGCCTTTGCATCATGGGCATAAAATGTTCCTCTTTCTGCCAGCTGAGTACCCAGAATGCCAATTTCTCTGTCCACTGTGTACACTATTCCAGTGCTTGTACCCTGGTCCTATCTGTGAGTTGTTTGTGCTCCTGTTTCTAAGGTTGTTATGTGAGTTCTGTACAAAAAAGAAGCCCCCATAAGTCTGTCCAGTAGCAATGCGTCAGTCTATGAAGTCAGCAAGGATAGCATGAGATTTTGCTCACTGTCATGTAAAAACAAAATCTCAATTATTTATCCATTGCTTTCCCTTAGTTTTAATACCAAAACAAAAAGAATGCCAAGTTAAGCACACATGACCAGTGCAAGTCTGTGTGTTGTTTTTCTAGGTGATCTGTAGCTGTGTGGCTTGCATGGGTACAGCAGTCGTTTTTAGAAAGATGTTCGTCTTGTAGATGTCACTCTCTAGGGAATGTTACTCAGTTAAACATGTAGTTAAGATTGAAGCTTTTTTCTTTCCAAAAATAGATATACTAGAGACTGGGGCTTCAGCTAAACACTGACCCAGTCCTGGGCTGCTTAATGCTGAGTCCGTGCAGGCTGGGCCTTTCACCTATGAACAGACCAACATAGGTTCCTGGTCTAGGCCCCTTGACCAAAGTTGCGTCAAAGCTGTCTTCTCTATTAGCATGTTTTTTGAAATATTTATTTTTTAAGATGTTTAGGAATCAGGTCATGCTGTCTTCCTTAACGTAGAAGAGGTTTACTGTTGTACTGTCTTGTTGATATGAACATTGTTAGGTTGCTAGCGAGTGCAGTAGCCTAAATACTTTTGTTGCCTGCTCTGAAAGCTCATAAAATGAGAGCCCTTTTTATATCCAAGCAGAATTTGCTCAGATAACTTTGCTTCTAGGATACAGCATGTCGTGTGTGATGGTCAGATTGCCTCAGAGTTCCTGTCGTGACATGGAAACCAGGTGATGAAGAAGAACAGTATAGATGTCCAGGAGGCAGCGTGGCTTCCCCACGGTGGAGACAGTATGCTTTTTACTCCTGTTCAATTGTCATTTGTAGAGAAGGGTTGGGTAGAGACGAGGAAAAAGAAAAAGAGTTATAAAACAAACAACTGCCTTTCCGTAAATGTCATGAGTAATTATAAACTTGGAGAAAAGGCTTCAGGCTACTTCAAAGGCCTTTAAACTTCTAAGCTGGTGTTGATGGGAAGTCCCTGTTCCCTTCTCCCCATGCCCCAGCTCCTCCTCTTCAGTTCCCCAGCACAGTACACTGTGAACAGAGCCCGGGCCCCTTCATAAAATAATTTTTTCCATTGTCTCCTCAGTAATCTGGTGGTTTTCCAGGTGGTTTTCATTATGACACAGTCTTTGCCAGGGTTGCAGAATCCACATCTAAGCATGGAGTTAGGGGGGCTTTGTGCCCAAAGCTTGGGCCTGCTCTTTTTTTGTGTTGGAGTTGGTTGAGGGTAATCCATACCTCGCAGGTACAGGTGCAGAGAGGATCTTCTTGTAGTTGCCATGGCTACTGCAGTGTGGGTAACCTGTTGGATGAATGCACTGGCCACTCGTGCCCCTGGGCCTCCAGTTCAAATCCTTCCACAGCCTGGAGTCCCTTGAGTCCTCTTAGTGCCTGCCTCTGTTTCTCAGAAAGTCAGGACAGGTGAGCGGAATTAAAGGTAACCAGCCAGTGAGCCAGCAGGGTTATTCTTCAGAATTTGCACTTAGAACTCTTGGCTTCGGCTGAGTTTTCAGCCTGGGGAGGCAGGAGATGTACAGTCATTCCCAGCTGCACTGAGGCAGGTGACAGACTTGTGAGGACTGGTTAGGGTTAGGGTTAGGGTTAGGGTTAGGGTTAGCAGGTTTACCACCCAACAAGGCGGCACGCCGAGTGGCTGCCTTTGCAGATGTGAGAGCGGGAAAACTTGACTTTTCTTTTTGGTAATGACTTGCATTTTTTCTGGTGCCTTTCATTGGGGGAATCCCAAAGTGCTTTAGAGACTGTCTTTTTAACATCTCTTGTATATATATGTATACTTGTAAAAAAAAAAAAACAATATTCACAATATTCTTTTGTCCACTGGGACCTCCTGTCACTTCTGAGCATCAGGCTGTCCCAGAGCATCAAGTCCTCCAAGGGGTGGTTCAGAGAGCAGGGAGTGGGAACAGCACGGCTGGCTTGAACTCTACAGCAAATTCCCACAAAAGATGGAGACCCACATGTGGCCCGGGGAACCTCTTCCACCTCCAAAATGCCACCAAGGCAGGAAGTTCCCAAGCGCTGTTTCAGAGACAAAGGCTTTGACTGATCTTGCCGGGCAACAGCTCATGTAGCAGCAGTGTCCTCTGGTCCCTGCAGCTAGGCAGGGAGGGTCAGGTTAATTTCCTGGCTTGTGCTTAGAATAAAGACCATAAACACAAGGCCACCGTTGGCTCCCAAGCTGTCAGAGTGACTCATAGCCTCTCTTTAGAAGCACACAGTTGACACAAGATCATTTCTAGCCGTTGACTTGAAAGCAGCCTCACTCCTGACATGTGAAGGTGGCTTTTTCAATGTCACTGGAACAAATATGTGGGCCAGGTTGCATCACAGCATATAGGACGAGCACCTCCAAGGGGCTGGGTTGGACAGTGACATCGGTCCACTACACAGATGCACAGTGTCCCAGATTTGTGGTTTTTACCAAACCCCTACATTTTCCGGGTTTGCTGCTAAAGAGGGCGTGTTATAATGCTGAGGTGATTTGCAGTGCATTGGGTAGCCATTGGTATTTAATATTTGGGTTTGTTATTTCTACTTATCTCACCGCTCAAATCATTGAACTACCTGCTAATGGTCGCCTCATTTCACAGAAAATGATTTGTTATGCACTTTGGGATAGCAGTGATCTGTATGGGCTGCGTGACATGTACTTGAAGGCAGAACTGCTACTTCTTGTATGTTTTAACAGCATGACTTGTTGCAGAGCTGTGATTTTAAACACTGAGAACGCTGTGTTTGCAATGTCAATTTTAACACTCGTGAACTGGTATGCAAGCGTGGATGTGGGCTCCGCAGAACCATTGTATCTGATTGCTGTGCTGCCTCGACTCGGGAGTGAGGCTTATGGCTGAGCCACTCAGGCCTGAGCCTTGCAGAGTACGGAGATTAAACAGAAAACAACTGTCCATGCTTCGCTGAGGCCCTTCAATTCCATAGGGAGCAACCAGCACAAGGACATTCGAAGTAGGGAACCAGACTTCCTAGAAAGGCTGGGCTTTTGAGAGTGGTTGGGGAGGAAACGTTGATTATCCTTTGCAAGCAAATCAGGGTGGGGTTCCTTTGGGGCCAGGACCTAGAGCTGCAGGAACGCTTGCTGGCAGGCAATGATCTGACCCTGTAGTTTAGGAAGCCTTGTGATCCAGGGGCCTCGCTGGGTTTCCCTCCTGCTTAGCACCTCTGATGGCCTGCTCTGCCGCCTCCTCCTGTCCTGGGAAGCATGTTGGGTGCTGTCCACCCTGAATGTCCTGGGTGGTGGCTGTATTGCTGGGGATTCCTGCAGGATCTTAGCTTCACGTACCCCGCCCGGCCTTAGGGTCTGAGCCCTAATGAAGGTCAAGGGGAAGCAGTTAGTTCTGCCTTCAGCTCTTCCCACGCTGCACGAGGAGGAGGTTGGCCATCCCTAGGCCCTGTCCAGTTGTTCACTTCGGTGTACAGCAGTATTTCTGCATGTGCATGTCTGTCCCCATTACAGCCGTGAGCAGATTCCGCCATTCCTAACTGATGGGAAGCAAAACAGGAAGACTGCTTACCAGCAGAAGGTCTGGGCTCCATTTCTCTCTTCAGCAGCAGCCACAATAGATGAGAGCCTGAGAGACACCAGTGACAGGGAAATGCTGGGCGGTGTCTGTTCCAAGTGGAGAGAGCTTTAAAATCACTAGCAACCGTGGCCTTTGGGCTTTATTTTGTTGTTTTTGTCTTTTATACTTCTTAGGATTAAGCCCAGGACCTTCATTCTCAGCCCTTGGTTTTTTTTCCTAGCCCTTATTTTGTGTTCTATTTTATTTTTGTTTTTGTTTTTAGACAAGGCCTTGCTATGTAATTTAGGCTGGCCTCGAAATTACTGTATCTCCTAGGCTGGCCTTGAACATTCAGTGATTCCCCTGCCTCAGCCTCCCGTGTTGTAGAATTCAGGCATATATCACTGTGCTCACTTGGACTTCAAACTATTAATATTTATTCCTAATCCAAATTCCTGCTATTAAAAATTATTAAACAGAGAAAAATCACAGTGCTCCCATCTGGCTCGAGGGCTAACTGCTGTGTTGTTGTGTTGTTCCTTGTGTGAAGCCTGGCGGATCCCCCTATGCCCATGAAGTTACTGGGGCACACTGAGGGCTCCCGAGTGTGCAGTGTTCAGTGGTGGTGAATCCACGGCACCTGTGCCGAAACGGGCTGTCTGTATCGTTGAAAGCTCTGAAAGGTTCACCATCACTGGTGTAGATGAATCTCCCCATCCCACATGTGACTTGTAAGTTACACTGCAGGAAAGTGGAGCTGCAAGGATCCCCTTCTCTGTAAGCTGAGGCAGGACACTGCAGGGCCCACATGTGGTGCTCAGAAAGCTCTGGAAGTTTACCATAACCCATGGTTCCCATCAGGTGAGGCAGACCCATCTCCCCACTGGCAGGGGTATAGATGATGTCCAGGATCCAAGGCCAGGCTGCTGTGCATCTTCAGAGACAAAACAAACACTTCTCAAAGGAAGAATTTAAATACACACTCAGCGGTGGTCACCCCTTATTCCAAGGAAACTTTGAACTATCATTTCTACTCCACACCATTGATACTGCAGGTCTGAAAAGCTGCAATGTTGTCCTCCCTGTGTGACCTCATTTGTCACTAAGGCCAGACTCCTGGCTAGATCCTCCTGAGCAGATGTGGGGATCGGCAATGACTCGTGGGGTGCTTGGAAGAGCTCACAGGGGAGCTGGTCTCACTGGCCTGGCCCAGGGGAACTCGGGATCAGAGGAGGAGAGGACAGCATGGCTGGAACCCTGCAGGGTCCTCTGGAAGCAAAAGGGATAGGAAGGGCGTGGGAGGACACAGCACAGAGAGAGGGGGTTAGGGGAGACAGCGGCAGAGAGGAGAGCGTGGAGGGGATGACTGATGAAGGGGATTTGCTGTGTTTCCACAGTTCTCCAGCCCTTGTCCCCATCAGAGGTCTTTGAGGGTGACTAAGGCAGGAGTCAGCTCCTCTTCTGCTCCCTGAGCCCCGGCTCCCCTTCCCCTCCTTAAGCCTCTGCACTCTGGGGCCCACTACTCACGTTTTGGATGAAAAGGGCTATGAAGACACGGGAAAAAGGAATGAACAGCTCCTCTCTGAAGCTTCAGACTTCTGGGTTGTGAGCAGAAAGAGGGCCAGGTGTTACCCAGGAAAGGGTGCTGGTGGGGTTCAAGGACAGAGCCACAGAAGGGAGGGTCAGGAAAGGGGAAGGGAAGGGCAGAGCAGGGAAGGGAAGGGAAGGGAAGGGAAGGGAAGGGAAGGGAAGGGAAGGGAAGGGAAGGGAAGGGAAGGGAAGGGAAGGGGAGGGGGTGAAGGAAAGGAAGGACAGGAAGCAGATAAAGCTCTCCTTCCACAGGTGGGGACCTGCACAGCAAAGCCACCAAGAGCAAAAGGAACACAGCTTGTGTGCGAACCACCCACGTCCGTGGGGCTGGAAAGAAGGCAGGCCAGAGCAAGGCCACCCACAGAGCTTGAGCTCCATCCCTTTGTCACTGCAATGGGCCATCCCCACCAGACTACTGCTGTCAAATGCGACTGGCAGCAGCTGGGAAGCATGGGGCAGGCCCAGGACTATTTGCGATCACAGAGACAGAGAGGGTGTGCAGTCACCAAGGAGGTCAGGACTCCAGGCCACCATGGAGTCGGGGTGTGGGGAGTAGGCTGGGAGAGTGCCGAGAGTGGAGGCAGGGGAAGAGGGGGCTGGGGTGGGAGCCATCAGCTTGGAGATGGGAGCCGAGACCACCGGTGTGGAGGGGGCAGTCACAGGGAAAGCCAAGGTGGCCCTCAGGAGACTGGCATCTGAGGGGCAGCTGGGGATGAGAGTGAGGGGGCCCCAGGACCTAGTGGCTCTCAGCTGCCCCTTCGCCTGCCAGTGTCCTTCTCCTTTCCCCAGAGCGGCCCCCTCCGTCCATTTCCTTCTCACCTCTCTGATCTGGCTTCTACTCCTGCCGTTCAGTGAAACCAGCCTCTCCACAGTCAGTGCTTTCCCGAGAGCTGAACACAGTGGTGTCCACTCAGTTCTCAAGTTCCCCCAATTCTTTGACCCCACAGATTAGTCTCTAAGTCCTTTGTGCTCCCTCCTCTGCCTTTTGGACACCATGCTGTTGGCTCTGCTGGTTTGTCACCCTCATGACTGTCCTTGTCACACATTTCCTGAGTTTGTCCTACATGAGAGTGGACAGCCGACTCCTGTCTCCTGCCTGGCCCTCCACCGCACCCCATGGGTTTGGAGGAGCCATGTCTAAGGGGGACTTTCTTCCTTCACTCCAGCTTCCTCTTTCCTGTTTGTGGGACCACAGCACTCCCCGCCTGTGGGGTGACATTTTAGCCACTTTCGGCTCCTGTCTGTTTACTGGTCTACTTGCTCAGGGTACTGTTCATCCCCCAACAGCTAATTGCTGAGCCCCGTGCTACACTTCAGAGAAATGAATAGAAAGGACCCTGCTCACAGTCACCAGGCAGTGGAGACTTTGAATCCACTTTGCATCAAAATTGCCAGGGGAGTTTTTCACAAAGTCAATCTCTGGGCATCGCCCATCTACAGAATTGGACTCTTGGGATGGGGGCAGGACTCTGCAGTCTGAAAGCTCTCAGGTGATTTTGTGTCATGTCACTGGGGATGGGACGCAGGGACTCGCTGCAGCCTCACCCCCAGGTGGTTTTGAAACCATCACAGAGAAATTGTGCAGGTTTTACCAACGCTTCCCGCACTGCACTGTCACACAGTGATCTCTTGGGATCCATTCTACAAGTTCTCACCCCACTGCAGTCCGCAAGAACCTGCGTTTCGCTGATTCCCAGCAGACTCGCCCTGTCTGAGCCCACCCCATGCCAATCATCCGGTACCTTAGATCTTCATGTGACCTTGGCCACCTCGAGTGCTTATGTTAAACACAACCACACATGAGAAGGGTCACAGCTGAGGAAGTAGAAAATTGACATGGCCCATGAAAGCTCACAGACCGAAAAGGACCCATTTAGCAAGGAGTCACCTTCAGTGTGGGAACAGGGGCAAATAACAGGGATGTAAGAGACCTGTGGCAAGGGGCACATGACGGTGACAGCACAGAGAGCCTGACAGTCTGGATGCTGAGTGACCAGGAAAATCAGCTCTCCATGGATGGCCAGCCCTGAGTTCCAGACCAAAGCTCCCCCAAAGTGACATGTGACCGTCCACCCAGACCCTCGGTGTCCAGGAATGTGACTTGGGCAGGCAAGCAGAGGACTGTGGTAGGAACAGAATCGGGGTTCTGGGGAACTGTTTTTTTTTTTTTTTTTTTTTTTCACTCAAAACTCTTTTCATCGCCTACATCTCCAGACATTTAAAGAATTCTGAGCTATTTTCAGACCTACTATGAAAAGAACCGAGGTGTTAGCAGTCAGACACCCATCTAACTGTTTCCGAAGGGGAGCGCTGGCATGACTGACTTCTGATCTGTCAGCCTTCTATCAACTTTTCTGGAAAACTCTGTGAGTCTGCCAGGGCCACACCGCTGGGAGTAGCTGAACTGTGACCTGCTGTGTTCGAGCCTTGGTTATCACAAAGGCCACCCTCACAGGGTTGTAGCCTGCACTTCTTTTGGAGGAATGTGTGGGAGGAGAGGTGGGAAATCACAATGCACAGAACCCGGGTGTCCCTGGTCCTTCCCACTGACTTCCAAAGAGAAGCCAGACAGCGTGCTTTATGCTTTGCTTGGATTTGAGATTTGAGGGCTGCTTTTGGAAAAGGGAGCTGCTAGGAAACAACAAAGCCTCCAAAGTAAACCAATCCCACTCTGGCCTGCACTCTGTCCTGGGGATCTGGGAGCTCAGGCTGAGGCTCAGAACCAGGTTGATGTTTTACATACAATGTTAAGTACATTGCTATGTGATTTTCCAATTTTAAAACATGAGGTCACTGAT